TTGTTGTACTCCTTTCCCTATTTTGAACCAATCGGTTGTTCCATGACTGGTTCTAACTGTTAGCTCACGGCTTCACTGAGTTACGCAAGCCTCTTTGCCACGACAAGGCAGTGTTCCATGAAGGGGTATATTCTTTAATTGAAGGTAGAATATTCCCATATTCTACACCAATTAAAGTCATTGGTATCATAGACTTTAACTGGCATAGGATATTGGTCTGTTTCATGTGAAGTCCATTGTATCCAAGTCCAGTAATTTGAGGCTTAGCTGTATAGTTATAAAAGTAGCTGGCAATATCCTAAATAAACTGCATGTTGATGATTTAAAGGGGATTTTTATTTAACTTTAAAAAAAATGTTTGATTTGGTTTATTTTTTGCAAGATTGGCCTATCTCCCAAGGAAAGGCTGAATCCTGAAAGTACATGCTTTTAAATTACATGATTGGAAGGTTGCATTATAGAAATTATTTCCATTTTTTCCTTTGTAGAAAGGCAGGACAGGTTGTGAGAACTTTATCTCACACATTCAAGTTATGGGCTGGATGCCAGGTGAGGGATTCCCTGGAAGACGAGTGGTTTCTTGGGAACTACCAAACCACTACACGAAAGCAGGAGGTGGGCCAGGTGTTGAAGTCCAAGAAAGCTTCTGGAAGAGGAGGCTTCAGACTTCCAGCCTTGCACCTATGGGACTTCCAGCCTTCCACTATGCAGTCAACAGAATAGATGAAGAATGTCAAATTCAGTAGTGGAATGGCCAAGTCAGAGTTCAGATATAAACCTCATACAAATGTTATAGAAGGACTTGAAATGAGCACTTCATGCTTGAAAACTCCCAAATGTCCTTGAGTTGAAGCAGTTCACCATGGAGGAATGGGTCAGGATTCTGACCTCAATTACAGGAATATTTGGTTGCAAATTATTGCAGCTAAAGAAGTGATTATTTTTTCATGCTAGCATTTCGTATTTTGGGTGTGAAGTAACACCAAAGTCTGGTGCTTGAATCTTGTATCATGTCAGTAGAACCCACATGAAACTCAGATCAGTGTTAACCTCCAAGATAACATTGTTAAACTGATAAAGTGTGAAACACAGTATCACATGATTTGTTACTGCACATTATTCTAGGTTCATTTATGAAATTCTTCCACCTTGCCATGTTTGTAGTTGTCTTTTTTAAGAGAATAATCATAGTTTGCTCTGGTTTCTGAGTTTTTCTAGAATGAAGAATACTCAAAACTTGAATGTCTTTATAATCTTAGCTAAATAGACTAATCTCTTTTTTCTGCAGTGTGACTGCAAATTCCTTTGTAGGAAAATCAAACCACCATTGTCACATTTCGGCCTATGAAAAATCCTTTCCAATTAAGTCTGTTACTAGTCCATCATGGAGTGCTTCATGTCGTCGGAGCTTACTAAGTCCCAAGAAGTCTCAAAGAAGGTTCATCACCACTGCAGAAGAGGTAGGTGAAAAAGGAAAACAGAAATAAATTGAAGCTGCTTTGGTGGAGGAAGACATAGTTGAGTTTTGTTGGATTGAGAAGCTTCTATATATTTTCCAGATTTATCTTTGTGTTATAGTATAGAAACCCTTTCTCCAAGGTGATGTTGAAATATCTCACAATAATTGGCTGTTATCTTAATTTTAGAGAAGAGTGGCATTGACATAGATATCTGGCTGCATTTAGTTCAACTGCCCTGATTTTAGGCCCAGAGAGGAAGCAGTACCAGAAGAATAGAACAATGAGTTAAAAAGTGAATAAACCAAAGGGATTATTGGGATGAGGAAATCCTAGGAAAGGAAAAAGATGATGAATAAGGAAAAAAACCCATAGTTCAGAGATGCCCATAAATAAGTACTACAGATGTGTGAAATATAGGTGTTCATAGAACAACCAACTACCCATAAGCCAAATTCTTCTTTTCTGTGGGATCATTCTTATTTTTGCACATGACCATTTGTCTGTACTCTCACGTATTTTCATCCTTGGTGATGGGGCTTATGGATGCTCGCCTTAGTATCTTAATTCATTCTGCATATTAGGTAAACATACTTTGTCAATTTTCGCATCCTTTAAAACAACAACTATAACACAATCCTGTAAAATATTGTGCTTCTATTTAGACATTCCATTATTAAATTATGTACTTGCGAGTAATACATGGGATTTTTTTTTTCTCCCCAGACAGTTCGGGAAGAAGAGAAAGAAATATACAGGCGGCTGATTCAAATGGTTACAGGGAAAAATTTGTCAGCTTCCAAGGCCTCTTCATTATTGTCTCTTCACCTGTGAGTCTCTGAAATGTATTGATTAAGCTGGTTGTCTACTAGTTTATTTCCAAAATTTCTGTCCTTTCGTTTTTATTTTCAGGCCCAGGTGTGCAGGTTCCAGTAAAATAACTGTGAAAGAAACTGAAAACAAATGTATGAAACCTTTTGATGTTTGTGGCCCTTCTCTGGTCAACCAGTCATCCAGTCTTCTCAGGATACAGGAACAGCATTCTGACAAACCACTGCCACAACCAGTTTGTAGTTTCACTTCCCCTGTTAACTTTGATCCCAAGAAGACTAGTATACCCATACAGCAAACAAATCTACCAGCATTGGATGTGCAGACCGAAGGTAAAAGCAACTGATATAAATTGAAATATTGCGGATTCGTTTCGTAACCCCAAACTCCTGAATTACTATTTTCTCCAGGCCATCTGCACTGTTGATTCTTAGATGCAGGTTTATTATCTCTCTCAGCCTGGTACCTAAGTTTTAAGACCGCAGTCTAAGACACTGAATAAATCTGAATTCTGTCTTGTGATATGGACATTTCTTTTGGAGAAGACTGTTGATACAGAGTAATGTTTAATCTTGCACCCTGTTTTGTTTGATTTAGGATCTGATTCAGTAATAATGCTAAATGGCAAAGACTTCAGATCTCCAGCTCCAAGGCAAGTGTGTTTTCTGACTTGTAGAAACTACAATTTATTGTTCCCAGGGTAATAGAATAGAAAGAATGGTGAAGTAAATTTGTTGAGCTTAAGCCACCAGAATCATTAGAGCAAATTAGTTAATGCCCCTTCAATTTCAGAGGAACTTTAGCACTATTTATTTCTGATGTTGGGCTAGTCTATTTAGCCTTGGTTTTGTCTTGTCTCTTTGGTCAAGAATTTTGAATAAAACATTTTTACTGTTTTTTTTTTTAATCTGCATCAATAATTAGTGCAAATTTTCTAGTTTTGTTTATTGAACTTCAAATTTTAGAGTTATTTTTTTTCTACACCGTGAATGTTAGGAAGTGTCTTGTTCTCAGACTTTTCTCTGAATTTTCACTGCTTTTCAACTCTGCTGCTGTTTCAGAGTTTTTCTATAGTCCATTTGTAGTGTCATTTACTGAGGCACTATGTTCCTGTTGGCTTTTTTGGATATACAATATCATCTAAGCAGAAAGTGTGGCCCTTTCCCATTCTCTGGCTCTGATGAACTCCAGAAATTGCTAGTGTAATTTTTTTGGTAGAAATTTCTATTTGGTTGCTGACTGTGCAATTGGATTTAATTATTTACTCCTCTTGATATTTTCTTCCTGCCTTAGCACTACAACTGAAACTTAGCTTTAATACTTGCTTGTTTCCTTCTTCCTGGAAGAAACATTAATACTTTCTCCCTTCCGTTTCCCTTCTAGTACACCTTTCTTTGAGGCTGAACTGTGGATAAAAGAATTGTAAGTATATTCCATTTTTGAATCCTTATTACAGTTGTCCTTCATAGACTCATTATATAACCAGATATTTAGTTCCTGTGTCTTTAAGAAAGGTTAAAGCTAAATCTACCTTTCCTCTTGATTTGACTAGCCAAAAAAAAAAAAAGTTTGGTCTCCTTTTCCATTATTGTAAAGAAGCTAGGCAGTCTGGATTTCTATTGCTAATGAGGGCAGGAAGTTATGTTAGGTTCACATATCTTTCTTATATCCTACATAGGATCGCAGATGGGAAGGTAGGATGTTATGTGATGTGTAAGTATATATCAAAGACCAAAGAGTATGGGACTTTAACTTACCAATCTGTGGTCTCAGAGGCTGAAGATATTTTATAGAAATTGCTGTGATGCTTTATATGGTACCTGTGAAATCACTGTTCTGGTTAGATACCAGTATTAAAAAAAGGTTGGAGAGCTTTTAAGGGTAAATACAAACCTTTTAAAGTTTTAAAACAGAAAAATGAGCATTCAAATCCCAGCACCAAATCTTACTCTGTGCTATTAGATCCATTCTCATGGATCTTTTCAGTTAAATGTGGGCAACATTTGGAATGTTGTTGCCACAATTCACCCTTCTGACTTTCTGAAGCGCCTGAGTGATTCTGTGACATCATTAGAGTGGATGCATTGATTTTTTTTCCTGCTTGGTTCTTTTCAGGGGTGTGGGATAGTTTGAGTACTTGCATTCCTGCCCTTCAAACTGCCCCCAAATGGCCTGAATTTGACTGTTTTGCTACTGAATTTTATTGGTTTGATCTAGGAATTACTAGTGAAACGCAAATGGAATCCTGGTGTGCAATATTTAAGCTGCAAGTTGCCTGTCTTGAATTAAAGAGATGTATGTGGGTGTCCAATAGGACTGGTCAACTAGATCAGCAGACATGACACCCTCGCCCATCATTCCCCATCTATCTCAAAGCAGCCTTCCTGTAAGAAAGGATCAGGGGCTGAAAGAAATATTAGACTGGCATAACTGGAAGTGTGCAAATAGGAATTTTCATGGCTGGTGATGTTGAATATTAAATTTGTTGTATACAAACATCCATCTAGAACCAGTGTATATGACTCCCGAGCCCGTGAGAGATTGCGACATATAGAGGAGCAGAAAGCCTTGGCATTGCAATTACAGAATCAGGTGAGAAAACTCAACATGGTTAATGTTTTAAAAGGATTGTCATTGTAATTGTTTCTGAGCTGAGAAGGCTGCCTGATTCTCCAGGTGCCTGCTTGCCTTTGCTATGAATAATAATCGTTGATGCAACTAGAACCTCTGAGGATAACATAATTTCTCTTAATATTGCTATGTGACTCCCTTGCTTTACCTTTAATACATACTGAATTGGAGGCTATAAGCTAGAGATCAAAGTGAGCTTGAACACATTTATGATCAGTCAATAGATTTCACTGTGGTTGATATGGGCTCTAACTTCATATAACCCTAAATCTGTATAAGTTTGATGACCGCATCCTTCTGTATATCAACTAAAGTGAGAAATCCAGACTCTAAGTATAGGAGTGGGCAACTTGGTGGCTCTTTAAATATTGCTGAACTACAACTCCCTGTATTCCTGTCCACAGACTTAGCAACATCTGGGATTGCCACCTTGGTTTAATGTTATGTCTTACTATTTTAATGATGTTCCTTTTAGAGACTGCAGAAACAGGAGACCTCAGTACCTGAGTCAATAAACTTACATCTTCGAGTTCCTCTTGAAAAGGAAATTCCTGTCACAATTGTCCCAGAAGACGGTAAGATAGTGGATGGTGAAGATGAATTTCCTGAAATTACAGAGGTTAGTTTTTAGATTAATACTAAAAACCTTGATGTCTTGGTAAAATAAGTATCTGGAAAGGTAGTTTATAGAAATGTGCAATTATTGTGGTAGAATTGTTCCTGGGGTGTGCCTCTTCATAACACATCTCTGTGATAGAATGCTCTGTCCTGTTTTGAAACTCTATTTCATAAAAAGCTAGATTTTGGGGGATAGTATTCTATCCTAACTTGATGTTGCTAGTGGTTTTGTTTCTTGTGTTACCTGCATTTCTCCAGTACAAAAAAAAAATTCAAACCCTTTCTTTTTCAAGGACAACATAAGAAAAATATATGGGAGATAGTCAAAAATTTTCCAAGCTTTTCCCAGAGAAACTTATTTGTAGAACATAATTATGTGGAATATTTTTCAATACCTTATAGTCTTGATCCGCAGCCTGCCCTGCAAACGTTGAGTATGTCTGACCTGCATCTCTCCTTTGTGCTTTCGCTGTGCTTATACCCCCATCACATTTAACTCTCTCATTTAGTAATGCAAGTGAGATTATTTTGGGAAATTGAGCACCAATAGCAAATCATATTTCCTTGGGAAAATTAATAATCCTTCACCCACAACCCCCACCCCTAAACCATGGGGACTTGTTTGTGCAGCCACCTTTTACTTCCTCTCCACACTTTGTTGTGTTGTCATTATTGTCAAACCTCCAGATTGGACTACTGTAATGCACTGTACATGGGGCTGCCTTTGAAGAGTATCCAGAAGCTTCAACTGGTGCAGAAGGCAGCGGTGCAGGCAGTTATGTGTGTTCCCAGAACAGCACATGCCACACCTCTGCTCAGCAAGTTGCATTGGCTGCCAGTTTGCTTCCAGGTCTGATTCAAGGTGCTGGATTTAACCTTTAAAGCCCTTCATGGCATGGGACCAGGTTATCTGAAGGACTGCCTCTTCCCAATTACATCAGCCTGTCCCATTAGATCTGGTAGAGAAGGCACGCTGTGGGTACCATCTGCTAGTGACTTATATTTGATGGGTCCCAGGAGGTGGGCCTTCTCTGCCATGGCGCCCTCCTTATGGAACATTCTCCCCCCCACACACCAAAGTCAGGTTACCTTCATCCCTGTTAATGTTCCAGAAGTCCCTGAAGACCTGGTTATGTCACCAGGCCTGGGGGTCCCAGCTAACCAGAGGCATTCTAAGATGGCTCCACCATTGTGGTTGATATATTCACTCTCTCCATGTTTTGTGGTTTATATATTTTTAATTTTTCATAATATTTTAATTTTTAATCATGGTTGCTTTATATTTTTATAATGATTGTTTTTTATGTATTTGTTATATTTGTTGTATGCTGCCCAGAGTCACTTTATAAAATAAATAAATAAATAGATAAAATTGGGCCTTTTCACAATAAACGTAATGCTGAATTGAAACAATTTCAGACTCAGTACCATTTGTTTTCATTCTGGGCCTATGAATTTTTAATTAGTCTGATCTTGAGCATTTGAGATTTTAAAATATTCAGCAGCGAAAGCCAAAGCTCTTTCCTCTTAACAATTTGTAGGAAATGGAGAAAGAAATAAAAAATGTATTACGAAGTGGAAACCAGGATGAAGTGTTGAGTGAAGCCTTCCGATTAACCATCACTCGGAAAGACATTCAGACTCTTAAGCATCTCAACTGGCTCAATGATGAGGTGAATTTCAGTCTTTGTTTCAAACATAATTTTTAAACTCACGAATCTGAGTTGTAAAGGTTCATTGAGTCCAACCTCTACAAGTATCCAGAAGGTGGCTGTCTAGCCACCTTTTGAATATATCCACATGTCATGCTTCACAACTGCATCGCTTGGTGATGGAAATTCCAGTCCCAATTGCCATTGTAACTTGAGGACTACCTGTACAAAATGTCTAGATGATGCAATAAATGCCAGTCAAGGAACTTTTCTGCTCAGATCTCAATCCCATTTTCTACATCCAGCTGCATATAATGGAAGAACACAAACGGGATATTAGTGAAGCAGGCAACCTGCTATTATTTCTTAGCTGCTAGTAATTTGGAGGTAAAATAGAGCCATAGTGACTCAGAGCCCTAGATAGGTTATCTTTTACAAGTTGCATGATCCCTTGTTAGAGCAGTTGAAACCCATGGCTGTCCATCCTGTGGCAATGCTTTTTTTAAAGTTTTATATAGCAAGGCCCTTATGAGTTTCACCTTCCAGCTATGGTAGCTGATTGTGGGACGTCCTGAATTAAATAGTTCTGAAATGCTGTAGTTCATATTGCAAACACAACACATGTAGGTAACTAAATATGCCTCATGCTGAGAATTCTGGGCATGAAAGTATGTAAAATATAATCTTCCTTGAGTCACCTGGAGCCCTGGTGACAACATAGACACATCCATGCAGTTTTCTAGGTAACAATACAGAAGTGGCTTGCCCTTGTTTTCTTCCAAGAGCTTTTTTGGGTGACTTTTTAGTCTAGTTTACAGACCCTGGTCTCCCACTCAAATATTGCCATTTTTTTAAGATCAGTCAAGATCTTAGCTTGAGTGCTTAGCTGGAGTGCTACTGCTGCTGTGATGGAAAAGTGTTTGCTACTTTGCATATCTATTTTTTATTAATAAATATCTCTAAGGCTGCTTGCTGATTGATGAGATAAATCACCATTTATGTAATGAATGCTCTTCTAGGAATAGAGAAAAAGAACTGTTTTGAATAACAAGCAAACCCTAACATGTATTTCTCCCCCTCACAGATAATTAACTTCTACATGAATATGCTGATGGAAAGAAGTAAACAGAAAGGCTTTCCAACTGTTCATGCATTTAACACATTTTTCTTCACCAAGTTAAAAACTGCTGGGTATCCAGCCGTGAAACGTTGGACTAAAAAAGTAGATATATTTTCTGTGGACATTCTGTTGGTTCCTATTCACCTTGGTGTACATTGGTGCCTAGCAGTGAGTATAGAATGCATGTGTGCATAAGTGTTCAAATGAATTCACATCAGCTCCTTCAAACGCTCCTTGCTTGTTCTGATTCCTTCTTTATGATGGCTTCTCATTTTGTCATCTTTACTTTCCCAAATGCCTGCTTTTGAAACACTTTTCTGTTTTTTTCTGCACTACCCAAACATGTCAAAAGTATCCTAGAAAGTACATACTTCTGGGTAAGACTATGCCAATGTCTCAATGCAAAATTTTTGCTTTGTTTAGGTTACTGACTTCAGGAAAAAAACCATCACCTACTTTGATTCAATGGGTGGAGCCAACAGTGAAGCTTGCAAGACGCTCTTGTGAGTATCTCTGTTACATTAAATATTTCACGTTTTCCTTATGATCTTAGGATTGATAGAAGCAATCTTCATGCCAAGCAGTTGTTGCTGTTATAACATCTGGAAATAGCTGAACTTTCAGGATATTTTCCAAAGAGACAGCTAAAAACATGTGTGCTCCTGTATCATGAAAGGCAGATAGTACAACTCATAAAACCAATTCAAACACATTTGATAAATTCCATCTTTCTAGGAGGCCATGTTGAACTTCAGCCTCTGGGCCCTTTATTATAAGAAGGGTTTAGGGCATGAATCTCCAAGTGCTGAAAATTCTGTATCCTCCCTTATCTTGCTGAAGTTGCAGTCTTAAATGCACTATGTTTATTTTTATCCTGACTTTTCATTAAAATGTTCAGAAGGTTATATGAGTGTTATTTCAGAGTAGAAAAATAAAAATAAAACAATAAGAATGTAACATATAACTCAATTATAAAAAGAGATTAATCATATTTGATAATAAACTCTTTAAGACTTGTGGGGGAGGCTCCTGTATCTGAATACAATGGCAGATTTGAACTCTGAGAGCAACATTCAGGTTAATTCACTCTTAAATGGCTTTTCCATCTGGAAAGTGTACTGTTCGCTTTACAGATTTGGGCAGAGGCGTTATAATATAGAATTAAAAGCTGTATGCATCCATTGAGGTTGTCTGAGCATTAAGTTTTTCTAAAATGAGTCACAAAAGATGCATCAGACCTGACCCATTGTCCCTTCTTTGGTATTAGGAAATTAGCAACAAGTTCTGATTTTAAAGACGTCAAAAGCTATTATTGATTTGTTGTATATTTTGTTTGATCTTTAATTTGTTGTAAATTATCCTGAAAATTATATTACAAAGAATCGTTTATTAATAGATCAAATAATAATTTATTGTTTAAATTATTTATTTATTGTTTCAGTGAAGCATTTCAAAGTCCTCTGTGTTGGACTAACTCATTAGAATTTATTCCCCTAAATGTGTCCTATTTTCTGTTATGATCCTTCTTTGATGCTAGACCATTCTGTTTAGTTTAATAAATTACACGGCCATTTCCAAAAAACTAGCTAAATATAAGTTGGTCTATATACTTTTTTTATCTTTAACGTTATTAAACATTTTTTATTTTTAACATTAAATAACATTAAGTAAATGTCTAAAGGCTCCAAAAATCTATTAAGGGCATTGTTCACATTAGAGAATTATTGACATTTTTATGGCCTCATCTTAACAATATTTATATCCACAGAAAATGTGTGTGTCCATGAAGGGGGAAGGATGGGTATCATTGATGAACCAGCATGTCACAACACATTTTAAGCAGGCATTTCAGGATGTTTGGGATGTTTGCTTATAAGTAGATAGATTTCCATACATTCCTATATGTTTTCAGTCTCATTTTACTATCAGTGCTGTCTAAAATACTTGCCATCATTTACAGATTAAGTCTTTTGAAAGGTGGGCTATGATACATGATTTAGAAACATTCAAAAGTAAATTATTTTAAAAATGTTATTAACAATATATCAATAAAACATATTCATGAAATTCATCTTAACACTCACAATGAGTAGAATACACAGAAATAGTTCACATTGGTAAATAAACTAAGAAACTAAAATTGGATTAATAATAAAGAATTCTCTTTTTCTAGAAGCTTATCTAGCAACATAGTAATGTTAAATTAATGCTCGTCCGTGGGTTGTCCTTCATCTGCAGGAACCTGTGTAATTACTGTAGCTTAATTTGTGTCAGTGCAGACCAAAGTATCCTTGATGTCCAAAGGAACTTAATATGGCAATTGTAACTTTTCCTGACAGGAATACCTTTCTGCCATATTCAAGCACTGGCAGATTGGACATTACTGTAATGTGTTTTCTGTGAGGCTCCTCTTGAGAGGAGATTTCAGCCCGCAGCTAGTGCAGAATGCCAGAACTAGATTTCTCACAAAACCCAGGCTATTAAGACATTTCCCAGGTAGCATTGATAGATCAGTTTGCGACCAAGTTGTTTGAGGAACTGTTTGCTTTCTTACATACCTATGCGATCATGATGTTCTGCTGAGGATGCCTTGCTCAATATATCATGACTATCTGATATTCATCTGACTATGAAGCTGCGACTGGCATTCTCTGTAAGAGTATCCACCAGATGAACGTTCTTCTGATGGTAATTAGGCTAGCTTTCCCTGTGGAAGCTTTCCACCAAAAATTAAGAGCTGACTGGTTTGCTCTAGTCTTCTCTTGATTTTGTTTTGTCTTTTAAATTAATTATCTTGATTATATAGTCTATTAATGTTAGTTTAATGAATTTACCATTTCTACAATTAGTGTATTTAAAAACATGAAAAGGGTATACATAAGAAAGTATTAATGCTACAGGAATACTGTAAAATAAAATTAGTTAAAATGAAAGAAACAGTTTTAGCAATTAACATAAATGTGCTGGTTGCATAAATCAAAATGACATAAGAAAAGCTTTGCTAGGGTTGATGCCACAGGGAATATAACTTGTTGGAATTTAAGCAAATATTTTTAATCTTTCTAAGTACAGTGAATGTAATGAGAGTTATTCTTGACTACACTTGTATACCAATGCATTCTTAGAAAATCTAATTTGCATTTAATATTCAGGAAAAAATGTTTTCTGAACCTTGGATTGATCTACAGTATAGAAGAAAATTTGGAGACCATACACATTTATTCATTTAAAGCATTTCTACTCTTCCAACAGTGTGAAGGAGCTTAAAAAGGCAATCATAGTGTAAACATATGAACATGTCCTACCACCTTCAAAACACTGGGAGGCTGCAGGCAGATATTTTTTACAGGTGACCAGGGTGGGCTGGAGATGAGGCCTTCCTGCTTCAGCAGTAGCAGCAAGCTCTACCATAATTGCTGCACCCATGGAACCAATATGGGTATCTCAGGCAATGTGTCAGGGCAGGCAGTAGATCTGCAAGATACTATGGTCTATTGTTCCTGACAAAATTAAAGCAAAGTCAGAAACTACTCATGGAGCTTAGTGCAACTCTCATTGGTGTTGGTGGTAGGAAAATACTCAATAGGGAGGTAGGGAAAAAAAAGGACTTAAAAATTGGTGATTCTTCTTCTCCCTTACACCATAGGATTGCTCTACCAGTAGATTACAGGTAGTCCTTGTTTAGCGACCCCAATTGGGACCAGCAACTTGGTTGCTAAGTGGAAAATCACATGCCTGTGACTCTGCTTACAATTTTACTTCAGCTTTCTTTTTCTTTACAGCATCAGAAGGATACAGCCCCAAACAGCTGGGTGAGCCCAAATGGTAGGAAAGGTTTCCAGAACTCAACTTACGAGGAAGCCGGGTAAAGGGGCAAATCTTATAGCCCTTTTTTCCCACTCCCCTACCCTTTGGAATGCTCACCCCAGTGCTGGGAAAATGAGCAAGAAGAGAATTAATATTTGGATTTACATTCATTGGAGAGGAATGATTACAAGATAATAAGCAGGCACACAGTGGAGAATACACTTTGAAAGGAATGTGCTAGAGCCAGCTCTTTGCCTGTCCCACTCCCAGACAAGAGCCACTTAGGAGGCAAGCAAAAGTGGAAGATGTGAAACTTATTAAAATCTTGTTAGTTAAAGGCAGCAGCTGCCAGCTGGCTAATTAAGGTCACAGAGCTGAGCTTAACAACTTGCAGTTAGCACTTTTTAGGGACGTGCTGCACTTTGGAGAAAAGCAGCTCAGGAAGAGATAGCTTATTTAGGTAATCTCTCCACTCTGCTGGGGAGAGAATAAAAAAACAGGTCAGGCACAGGACAATATGCATTAACTGGCTGTAATGGCAAACATGTCTAAATTTGAAATATAAATAAATAAATAAATAAATAAATAAATGTGACAGACTGCGAATTTTGTAAGTGAGGGTGTTGGTCGCAAGGTTTCTTTTTCATCACGTAACTGAATGGTCACTGCCTGAGGCAGTCACTAAGTGAGTTCTACCTGTATTCTAAACATATTTTGACAATGCTTTATGACTGAGTAACTATGACTGCAGTAATATAAAACTTGACTTTAAAAATGTTCACAAAGTTGCAAGTTAAAAATAACATATTACTGCACATGTTTTCTTAGAAAAATATATTTTTCACGGGAGATAATTGAGTATGTCTCATCTGAAAGCTCATTGTAAAGCAGTGTTACTCAATCTTGGCAGTTTCTGGATGTGCAGACTTCAACTTACAGAATTCTCAACAGTGGCAATAAGTTTATGGTCTGCACCTTTCCAATTGGAAAGATGGCATTAGTTGATTTGTTTGTTTTAGAACAGTGGCTTTGTATAAAGGAGAAAATGTATACATTGAACATTTTACCTATGCTTTATACCATATTTATCATAGTAAGCTCACTCACTGTAAGAAATCTCCAATATAAGTATTGCCATGGCAAACTACATTGCCAGTTCTTGTCTGGAATTGGAAGCAGACAATAGTCCAAAGTTACGGTTAAGCAACAGAGACAATTGGCTCAATAATGTATTTAGAAATATACATTGGATTAAGCTTTTTGTTCGTTAGATAATTTGATGGTTGCCCTGAGATTAATGTGGTTACAGCTTTTCTGCCAGTTTAATCTTACTGGTAGTAAGAATGGGAAATCTTCGGTTTTGTCCAGATGACTAGTGGCACAGCTAGAATCATGCAAGGGGGACTCAGCTTTTAGCTGATTGTTGCCCTTTCCATAACTGTTTTTCCTTTTCTATTTCCTTTCAGGAGGCTTTAATTGGTTGAATGCAGTGGGAGGATCACACCGGGAACAGGGGACAGAGGTCCTATTCATGGTTAGTGACCCTTTCATGCTTTCAATCTTTAGAGCTTCCTGATTTTTGGTGAGTTTTGAATGATTTGTTTGCCCCTTTTTAGAAAAGGAAAAGATTTATGGGGTCATAAATCTGTGGTTTAATTCTATAAATTGCATATATTCTGTTTGAAAAATCAGTTAAGACAAATGCATTAATCCAATTCAGTATAAGCGTCAGATTATGATTATTTAAGGATTATTAGATAGCTGGGGTAGCTTGGCCGTCTTCCACTGAAGGCCCTACAGAGTTGATGTGAGAATAGCTGGTGATATGATAGAAGGATTACGATCTTAGCTGATTCATATATTTTCACATTTGCTAGTTGTGTCACTTGGGTCTTACATGGGTAGCCTTCTGAATGTATTTTAGATTGGGGGAGTGGGGATGGCAACTCTGATGAAGGAAGAGGTTTGCCTTAAAGTACCAACACATACCACTTCAGAAGTAGTGAAAATGAAGCATTCAAAAGGTACTATTCCTTTTTCGTGATCCTTTCTAACTTATGTGAGAGAGTTACATTTAAGATGTAAGGTTGAAGAAAGTACCTGAAATGCTTTGGCACATGCACAGTACCTTCCTTATCGCCTGTATAGTGGTCATGTCCTTCGCACCCATCAGAGAATGCTCTCTTTTTTTGTAAGCAGCAGGTAATTCTCAGCTGGTTCTAAGTTTAAAGTTTGTTTTGACTAGAGTGACTATAGTTCAGTACAAATTAAGGTATTCTTGTGTAGACATTGTTTACTGGCAGAAAGCAGCATCCTGGTCCATCTTGTTTGGGTTTGGAAGCTAAGCAGGTTTAAACCTACTTAATACTTGGATAGCAGACCACTAACAAATTCCCAGACTGTATGTTAGGCTGAGTCAGTGAAAAAAAGTCTCAGGAGAAGCAGTGGCAAACTTTTGCATTATTGCTAAGAAAACTACATGGATGAAGTCAGCAGTAGCTGAGCTCAACTTGATTTTACTACCATTTCACTACACAAGCCATTTATTTTTGTTTTTGTTTCTTTTTTTTTAAAAAAGGTCTAATAAGATTGTTGACATCCAATTGGAGAACTAGGCACTGGAATTTAATATCAGGTTAAAATCAAATAATATCAAAACATTTATTTGAATCCATTCTTCCATTTTTTTCTAAATTATTTTCTTGAATATGGTCTTATTTCATTGAAAAATTGCCCTTCACTTTTATTACACCTGTCTATTTAGAAATATAAGCAGTTGGGAGCTTCACTTTTTTATTTATTTTTTTAATCTTTCCATCCTGAAAAGCTGCAGGAAGTAGTAATGTTAGTAAGTACTGGCAATTTTTTTCAGCTTTCTTTTCTGTATTTTTGGGTGAAATGGGAATATTTAAACCTGGAATGCTTTTTGCTTTCTTGTGCCTTGTGTTTAAAAATGATCAGAGGTTGTTTTAAGAACTACAAAAATGAGTTTAGGGGCTGTAGATAGCCCATCTCTGTTTAAGAGGATAAGCTGACACAATGACTCGGTAACATATATTTGAAAAAGCAAGTGTTTTGCTTTTGCTGTGTAAGATTGATCGACAATTTTTTTAATAATTTGACTATTAAAGGATGACAAATGGGAAGAAGAGGTGGGTTTTTTTGTAATAATAGAGAAGGTGTTAAGTTACTGTAAAAGTTTATACTTGTTTGGAGGGAGGGGGAAGTCACCTTTTATATATCTTTTATCTTTTTCTTTTTCTCTTTTTTGTTTCTTTTTTAGTTCTCAATTAAGTAGCTTTTGTCTATGCCAAATTTTAATAAAAATATATATATAAAAAAAGAAAAATGTTTGAATGAAAATATAGCAACAAGCAGACCTTTCATCCAACAAGAGAAAGCATAATAAAATTGTATAAGTAAGATTGGACTTATGTACCTAGCCAAGAAGAAGTAGTACGTATACATACTTGGGGGAAAAAAATATATTGGATCACTACTCTTAGCGTCATTCTTTATAGCTATCTCGGTAACCGTATGCTGGGCAGTTGGGGTATTTCCTTCTGTGGCAGTTAGTGTGGAATCATTACAGTGATAGGAGCCCATAGCAAGCTGCCTGGAAAGTTCAGTCTGTTTTGTTTTAACAGGATACTTAGGATATCTGCATCTGCTGGGCTGTGATATTTATGCCATTAGCTGTTGTTTAATTCAAATCTATGTCAGGCAGAGAATGAAATTGAATCTTACAAGTCACAGTTTGAAATAAAAAAAGTTGCAGCTACCTTAAGGCAGGTGCAATCAATAATACTTGGTGCAAAGACAAAACACAACTTTTGTGAACAAGCCCCAAGCGTACTAGATAATTGAAACAAATAGTAAATTGTTTGCCCTTTCCCAAGACAAGAGAATCCTTAAATGTGTGTATATACTAGTGCAAGCATATTAGGGCTCTGGGTGGTTTGGCAATGATTTGAAAGATACACATCAGACCTTGCTTGAAAGAGCACTGTGGTTTCTGCTGTTCATTAAAGGGAGCTTGAAAACAGGTGCCATGGATTGCCTTAACTTTAATGAAAGGATTGATTAAAACAGTGCCATCGTGGGATAGGGGTGGTTTTATTGAATAATTGATGCTGAACTTGCACAAAGCACTTCTTCTGAGTCAGAGTGTGCATGATCTTAAAGGATATCGGCTGACTGGATAAAAACAGGCAATAGAGCTGTTTCGCATGTTTAGAAAATGAATCTCATATTGTGCTTTTCTGTATTTTCCTCAACTAAAGGTTTTAGTCTGTCTTGAAGCTTCACCACATGTGTAGTAACAGTTCTCACTTGACTTGGGATTCAAAGCTGGACAGAGAATCAAAATTATTTGGGAACCACAATATGCATGCAGTTATAGGACAAAGACTTAAACTTCCTGGTAAAATTCAATTGGCAAGGGGCTTTCTGTCTGGGGATAGAAGAGCAGGGGAGCTCTCTCTGCTTAGGAAAGCAAGAGGTCAAAAACTCTCTTGTCATTCATCCTCTAATAAAAGGGATTTGTTGACAGGTTAACAGCTCTGACCATCTTGATATAACTGAATATTTTTGCTAAGTTATAATTCTTAAAATGCAACATTAATTTAAAACATGTCATATGTTTTGTTATGTGCTAAAATATTTGTGTTTTTTTCTGATCTCTACAGGCAGTACTTAAAGCAGGAAAGTCTAGATAAAAAGCGCAAGGAATTTGATACCAATGGCTGGATGCTCCTGTGTAAAAGAAGCCAGGTATGTTGGTTTTATATGGCTGAGGGTATAAGACTCTGAACTGTTTGTATTATCAATCATAACTTATATGCACTTCCCTAGTTTAAGAAGTCACTTATAGATGGAAGACAGTTCCCTTATCTTTCAATCCTGACTGTAGCAGATGCAGATAGTTAACAATAATATATGCACCTGAAGAAAATGAGAATAATATTGACAGACATATAGATATTGTCAGCCCATTGAGGTAGACCAAGTCAGGAAACAAAACTCCACAAGTCTGACTGGAACTATACTTTATCGATACAGGTTATAGTAACAGAATCTTGCATGTCTCAATGAGTTTTCCCTCCCTCTTAATACTCTAGTGAATTAGGGAGGAGTTAATCTGAGCTCCTTTCTCACGTCATCACTGTTTCCTAGGCTTGACGTATGCTTTGGGTTATATAACCGTCATGGTCTCTGCTTAGTTTCCCCAAGGTGAGCCAGGAAATCTGACTGGCTGTGCCCACTGGGGCAGCCATTTTGTGAGAGTACCATTTCATGCGCTCACAATTCCAAATTTGGAGCCAATTTTGAAGGCTTCTGATCAACTGAAATCTGGATGCTTGTAGCAACTCTCTTTTTTGACGCTTACTGCAGAATACAGCTGATGCAAAACTCTAACACATTCCTTGCTCTGCTATCGAAGGGAAGAGTTGTTTTCAGTATTTCCATTTGCTTTCCAGCAGCACTTTACTTCCCATGGGGCTTCTTGTTTTCTCTTTCTGGCCCTTGTTGCTCTCTCCTGTAACTGGAAAAGCCAGGCAGAATGGCAAATAATCAAACAAAGAAGGGAAATTAGAATGAAGAAGTAGATATGGCAAGTGGGAGCAAGACACAGCTATGGATACCAGTAGTAGCTTCTGCAGCCAACTGTAATTACTTGAGCTGGAACTCAGTTGTGATTGGAGCTAATTGTGGAGCCTGTTGTACATCTACCTTATCCTTTGCCTTATTTGCCAAGTTGAAACTTTGCTGCTTTTGATCCCTTTGCCTCTGTCTTGGTTAAAATAGTAAGTCCTTTAACAGCAGTTCTTTGAATTATACCGTGCTCTTCCATTGAGAGCTTAAAACTTCCACTCATTGTATGGAGTTCTCGTCCAGAAAAAATAAAGGGGGATGGGTTTGTTTGTCTTTTAAAGGAGATCCCCCAACAAATGAATGGCAGTGATTGTGGGATGTTTGCCTGTAAATATGCTGACTGCATTACCAAAGACAAACCAATCAACTTCACTCAAGTAAGTTGGTCCTGAATGCTAACTTATATGATCTGAATGATGCAGCTTGGTCTTAATTAGGATTATTTTTTTTTTAACTTTAAAACGAAAAAAACAGACAAGAAACACTGCAGTAAAAGCTTGACAATGGATTATTTGTTGGGTGGGAATAACTGTTAAATTAGAATTTCCTTTAGATCCTTATTTGTGTAATTACATAAGTGATGTAAGTGATATCTGTTGCAACCCCCCCCCCAACATACATTCTCCATTTAAATGACTTTAGTTCATTAAACTGAGGTTTCACTATGGGTATAAAAATATTCAGACTAGTTATTAAACTTTGACCAAATGAAATAATTGTAAGTCTAAAATAACTGTATTTCCAATGTTAATTTTCCATGAACAATCTGTAATTTTCATATAATGATAAATTTCAGATTTTAGTATATAATTCAAGATCACATTCACATCATTAAATATAATAATCATTATAATATCATAATAAGAATTTTGTGAATGTCTAACCAAAATGTAGTATTAATTGAACAAGCACATATCTTATGGATTTGGTTCTCTCATCCCTAATACAATTCCTACATAAGGAATCGGTAAACAGTCCTTTTTTAATGTTCTGTGATTAGTCCAGTACACATGGAGAAAATGTAGTTTAATTTTTTTAAGGTTATAAAATTAATCTTTTAAAAATCCTTTATACTGATTTGCTAGTTTAGGATATTATAGCTCCTTACACTAGAGTTCTTGAAGGTAACTAATATCCTTCTTGGTTTATAAAAGTTGATGAAGATTTAGGTGAAACACATTCTGATAGTAATAATAATTCAGGACTTTTAGAGGCAGCCAATGCCTCTGGACCAGCTGTGAATTCAAGAGATGTTTTCATTGACTATATTGTTAACTTAAATTCCCGTTGAATCTGGGTAGAGGTATGGCACTAAAGAATACAGGCTGAGTTTCATATAGGTAGCTATATGAACAACATGACTTGTACAGGAAATCCAGGAACTGATTTTTAGGGCAGAGAGTACTTCCATCCATTTTAAATATGTCCTGCACCCCTTTGTTTTCATTGGGAGCATAGGTTATGGGAATTTGAGGCTTGAGTTTGTAAATACAACTTCAAAAATAACTAGTTTTTTAATGAAGTAATCTTGGTTTTGTGTTTAAGCAAGGGGGAGGGACAGGAATATTTTGTCAGCATGCTTTAAAAAAGAATGCCCTGGTAATGTTACAAAAATATTGATATTTCTGATTTCTTATTGTTAAAGCAACATATGCCTTACTTCCGGAAACGAATGGTCTGGGAGATCCTCCATCGTAAGCTGCTGTGATTTTATGCCAAGTAAGACTCTTCAGAGACTGATGACCCCAGCTGTACTCTTCTTGGCCATCTCCAAGTGGACTGCATGGGTTTCCTCCACTGACAAGACTCTGTACATTACATTTGGTGTCTTTAAAAAGAAAATAAATCTATTTCTTGGACCAGTGTGCCATGCAGCCTTTTAGAAGCACACACTTTTTTTTAATATTTTGAAACCTTATTTTTTACAAGGGACATTTGGAGACTCAGAGGAGTGCAGCTTTTTATCTTCGAGATTTCTGCCTTTTTCAAAATGGCCAGCTTCTGCAAAGAACTTGAGACCTGCCAGTGTTCAGCTGCTAGGGCCTTGGGTGCAAGGGAAGCACTTGCAACCTTTTCTTGGATCTGTCAAGACCTAGAGAAGAACTGATGTCATAGCACTAAGTAAATATGGGTTTTCCACATTGCAATTGCTGCAGCTAGTTATTTGATGCAAAACATGCAGGAATTTGTGTCTTGGGAAACCTGTTTGGCCCAGGCTTTCCAGACATATGCGTGTTCATGTGTTTCCTGCTTCTTATAACCTGCTGTTAATAACATGGACAATTCTCACAGCAGCTGTAACAACTCAGACTCCCTTTTGTTCTTAATCTATTAGAGAGAAATGAAATTCCTTGAGAATGGAAAGAGAATAGACACCAGCACATGAAAAATAACCACTTGCTCTACCTTCCACCATGGCAATGACCTCTTCGATTCTGTAGTAGGGCTGCCCAGTGGAAAACGAACAATCCTTTATTGATGCTTTTATTTTGGCATTCAGTGTTTACTTTGTCACAGTAAATGAGTTATTAACCGTCCTCTGACTACATATTCAGGACTTACCATTGATCCTAAAGAAAAAGAAGCATTTGTGGGCAGAGGCATTCTGCACTGAGAGCCCTTATTCTTCACTGCCTCCCCTAAACCTGAGCCCTTCTTGAATCTGAAAAAGAAAAGTCAGATACCTTTGTGGCCTAGATCACTGCGTTCAGATGACTGGGATTATCCCCATTGAAAGCCAGCATTTTTTCCTTAACCATATTCTTGCTATGTGATCAGAAACTGAGTTTCATGAAAAACTAAAATTTTGAAGAGTTGGTGCATTACATTCTCAATAAAAATAGGATTTATAGCAAACTAAACAGCTGTAATGTCAGTGGGATGTTCATTTGACAGAGGATGGAATAGTTGTTGATCTTTCAGCTCTTTGTAGAATTAAGGTACAATATAATTTGTTTTAAAACATTAATTATTGGTAAACAGTTTTTATACTATAAATATATAAATATATATATTTATATGCCTTTCCCAGTGATCACCAATGAACAAATATATATATAAGTTTTGCAGCTTTTTTTTCCTGTAAGTTTGTTTTAAAAAAGCTGAATTGAAAAGTTGTTTTTTCACTCATATGCCCCTCCTTCCTCTGATTCTGTTCTTAACAGCAGTTAATGATGAAGAATGCTCTAAAGAGAGTTTTCTTCCTCAGCCCTATTTTTATGCAGCTGCCTGGCAGATGCTTTGGACTACAACTTCCATCATTCCCATCTGATCTAGTGATTGGAAGCTGTAGTCAAATATACATGGGCACTAGATTGAGGAAAGCTGATACTGAATCTGTCTGGTTTTTATATGAATCCAGTAAGAGATCCTGCTGGCAAAGGCTCTACCTATCGAGAGGCAGATTTTTCACAGAGCCCGTGACACCCTGTGTATCACTGATGGAATCAGAGTTTCTTTTGCCAGTGTGAGAGGATGCTACCTTCTCAGGTTATACTGAAGACTATCTTCAGTCCACCACAAACCATTTTTGTATAGCCAACCTTGCATTTGTTTCAGTGGGATCCATATTTAAATGGAAGTTGTATAGCAGCTGGATTGGACTCTGTATCTGCTGTCAGCAAACAGAAGTGGAATACAGTCAGGATTCAGGCCCAAAAGCTTGGACTTAAGTTCGCATGTCACACATACCTCTTGATGTAGCTTTTTTTTTTTTTTTAATTCTAAAGGATTAAAGTAAATGCCCTCTTGTGTTTTTGCCATTAAACAGGGAACATTTTATATATTCTATATGTGTAAACATAGTTTTGTACAAATTTCCCATTACCTTTCCCTAATTTGTGCTCTTCCTAGACAAGTTTGTACCTTTTTTGATGTCTCTTTGTGTTTTTTATACCAGCCTCCGGTCACCTTTTTTCTATGTTTTTCTGCAAGTAATTTTCTTTTGTAATGTGTTATTCTTAAATAAACCCAGCCATTTAAAAATGTCAAAGAATCAAAGTCTGTTCTGTTCTCTGTTACCTGCAATGCAATTTACCTTGTACTCTGATTTAATAGAATATTTTCATAGCCCTGCCATATAGAAATGCTTCGCTGGTTGGAAGGGGGTATCTTTTAGCAGAATAAGATCAAGAATCTTTACCAAGTTTTACTAAGCACTAACTACTGTATAACCAGAATTAAGCTTACCCACAATTACCCATTGTCATACTGATAATATCCTGCTCAGCCTTTACAAATGTTTTTTTCTAAAAGAGCCCAAATCCTTGGTTAGATCATGCTGAGATCTGTTAATCCAACTAAGTGGTTGGAAATCTGCTTTATATGATTCACTGAATAAGTATTCCCTCTCAGTTCCAAATATTTCTTTGGAGGCTAAGGAGCTGTAAGAGTTGATGTATAGTTTGGACACTAGGAGGTATAAGAACCTTGCAGTGACAACTAGTTTCTTGCCATGGTATGGCAGGTTGAAATTGGACCATAAAGGAGCTAAGTAACAGCATAGTGAACAGAAAAGCTTGCTAAGCAATTAAAGCCTTGATTACAAATTATGTCTGCAGTAAAATTTGAAAGTAGATACCAGCAAATACCCTTGGGGGCATTTTCTGATTGAGAATGTATCACATTACCCTTTATGTTGTCCATTAGATTTATCTCTCAGCTCTGTTCAGGTGAAAAGAAAAACACGATCTATCCAATTTTAACAATGCTGTATCACAGAATGTAGTTTTACTTGTATTTGTACAAAAGCTACATCAAAAGTTTTTAAAATTATTTTTATTTTACATTTAAGTGCATAGTAGAATTAGCTTAATTTTGTTGTACAATCAAATTTCCTAATATTTAAATCTAGTAATAACAGTACAGAATAATACAATGTTCTGTGGTCATTTTTTAATTAATCAGTATCTGACCATAGACTACTGTGGCTATTAGGAGTATGTAAATTGGCACCACCTTGCACATACTCAATAAAGCTACACCAAGCTGCTCATTTAAATAATTTTCTCTCATCTTCAGCCATATTAAGCCTTTCCTTTTTTTTTTCCCCCCCCTATCAGTTTCTCCCTTAGGACTATTTGCCAACTGTTGAATTTGTTGAATGCAGACTGACACTGAAAAATTACTCCTTATCTTCCATACCTGATTTATAAATTGTCTATAAATTTATAAATTGTTGGCTTAAAAAATCCAAAGGTTTGGCACAAAGTTTCACAATAGTGAAAATAACTAACCAAGATGTTGCACTAAATCTTAGGTTAGCCTTATTGTCAACGTTTGGGGAAGCAAATGAAAAATTGCTACATAAAAATATAATAATATGGTTAAGATTTGACTAAATTATGTAAAAAAAGTAGAAGGTATGGGGCTATTTTTTTTTTAAATGTTAATGGATGTAATGGCTTATCCCACATTCGGTAAACTTGAAACTATTAACTGTTGCTGAAAAGAGGAAGGAGCTTGATTTATGGTGAACTTCAGTAACAGAATTGTATAAACATTTTATAATTCCATCCTAAAACATGGTTAAAAGAGGAAAGTAAACAAAACATTACCAGATTACAGACGGATATATCAGCTATTGTAGATAGGGGGCAGTAGCCAGTCACATTCAAAAAAATGTGTCAGTCATTTACACTCGATAGTGTGCATATGTAAATATATACAGTTGTCTTATTAAAATTCACACCTCAGCTCTGTGGCTGGTATTTGAAACCTTCTCAATTATGGAGCTAGAATTTTGTGAAAAGTGGCGGCAAGGGGTGGTTACCAAAAAGCTTGTGAAGAAGCTGCTCCAATCTGATATTTGCTGACCGTAGCAATGGCTCTACACCAGTGTTATCCAAACTTGGGCCCTTTTAAATTTGGGGGGGGTCACACCCCCCAAATAACACCCCACCAAGTTTTTGGTTGGTTTG